CCAACTTAGGGTGTTATTTGTGCATTTTTTTTGGGTCCTTTAAGCCATATTTGAGATTATGGTCTACTCTAGAAGCCATGGATGCTAGATCTTAACACCTTTGAGGTCCCTTGTCCATGAAAATGCAACCTTTGTGAGTTATATTGGTCCATTCATTTTTTAGGATTTTGTATGTGATTCTTTTTGAGTTTTGTGTCCCATTAAGTCATGCATGGGAGTAAAGTTGCCAACTTTACATATTAAGTCACCATTTATGATCAAATATGAGAGTTTGGCTTGATGGCTTAATCGATTAAGTGCTTAATGGGTTGGATTGGTTGTCTACGGAGTATACGGGGCGTACCTAGATCGTACGTTACGTGTACTGGCCCTGGAAGGAGTACGCTAAGCGTAAGCCTGAGTACGCCCAACGTACTCAACATTTTGACTTTCACTTAACTTTCACGGGTTCGGGCCATATTTTGGACTTTTCGAGTTTGGGCCTTGTTGAGCCATTGAACTTCTGAATTTGGGCCATTGCCAGACTATGGGCTTTCTTGGGATTAGGTCCATGCCGATTTATGTGCCCAATTAGGAAGTCGGGCATAGTGGGCCTTGGGATGCCATTTAGGAATTTCAGCCTTTTGAGTAAATGAGTTGGACCTTTGTTTTGGTCCAAGTAAGAAAAGGGTAAAATGATCTTTTACCTTGGATGTTGGAAAAGTAATCTAGATTCTTGATTATAGGTCGAGATCCAATTATTAATTGGATATTATTTGACAGTGTTAGTGCGAGAATTTTCCAGATTAGCAGACCGGGATTTTATTTGAGTGATTTAGCAGCTTAAGGTGAGTTTCCTCACTGTGTTTAGCGGGTCGAAGGTACCAATGCTAGCACATGGTTTATTATAATTAATATATTGGTTGTTTGTGTGACTCTGCATGTATGTTTTCCTGATATGTTTACCGGGAGGGGGGGGGGGGATGTCGGGCACGTACTGATGATTATATTGTATGCAATTTTCTTTGAGATTTTTGCATGTGTTTATGTGTTTGTATGTATACCGGGCATGACCCGATGCCAGACGGGGCCTGATGACTGACAGATCTGTTCCGAGCAAGGATCAATGTCAGGCGAGACCCGATAACGAGCGAAGCCAATTATATGTTTGATATGTATGGTATGTAGTATTTTGGGGATCTGACTAAGCTTTGTGTTTATGGTTTTCAGTTTATGTTTCAGGTACTTCTGGTTCGAAGGGGAAGAGCTTGGGATGACTGCACAACACACCCCACATTGTTTCACATTTTACATGACTCTGATGTTTTTGGATGTTATTTGATATACTCTGATTTCACTATGGTTTTATGATATCGTGATGTATATTGGTTTTATTAATATAAAAATCACAATTTTTGGGACGTTACAATTTGGATCCAATGAGAGATTCGAGGAAATATAGACCATAATATAAAAGATATTGTAAGACATGTAATGACTACGTTTATGCTTATGTTTCTTGTATCAATTATGACATCCCAAGTTTTTTAATCAATGAAAAACATTTCTTCGGAAATACTTTTATGGGACAAATTCCGCATTCATAAACGATTACTCTGGTTTAAAATAATCATACATAAAAAGGTCTTTCCTGACCGTGAAAATTGGGAATGTCACAGTAGAGGCTACGTTCTATGTTTTTTTGGCCTTACGGGCTCAATTTTGGGTGTTACAAGACCATATCTCACGCCATAGTGGCATATGTTGTATGGATTATGATTATGTTTGTGTTTAGTCTTGTCTTTGTGATATGATTTTGGCCTTTGAATTCATCAATTTAACTAATATGCACACCCCCCTCCTAAAACCCAACATGCATTAGCGAGTACCATTTTTAGTAAAATTATCCAAAACATGGAAATACACCTTGACATGATTATTAGGCAGAAACCTATTTTTGAGTGTCTACGGGCTACACATGCTCAAGATTTTCTTATGACTATTCTATTGATGGCCTTGGCCAACTATGTCGTCAATGTAGTATTGTGCTACAATTAAGTACATCCTTATGATATATTTATTTCTAGTTAACGATACATGCCATGTTTGTCACAAGACATGCTTGGACTATTTTGGGGTGCATGCATGATATTGTAGAGCGCTTTCGGGGTTTAAATACCGACACGATCTGGTTAGGGATTTTCTTTTTGACATATTTGGGCGTGTCAGGGTTTCTGCCAAGAAAGAGGCGTATGTGTAGTGACATAAAGAACATGGTTTGGCATGCGGAATTAAAGATTGCACAATGAACATGGTGATTTGGGTGTTCAAGAGATGTATTGAATATGCATGGTGTTACAAAAAGGGACATAGATCTACATCTAAATAACAAACACTTACACACTCACTTTTACACTTTTCAAGCACACCTCTACAAGTGGACTAAACCCACCTTATATAGAGGTGTTTACATGTCTCTCTCTCACTCTCACTAACTCACGAGTCAAAAGGCTAATGCACCACATGCAAGTGGGTTTTACAAAAATCAACACATTACAAAGTCAAACATGAATAACTTTGCACCCCAACCGTATGTGAACTTTTTGACTAACTCATTAGAAGGAAGATCAATACTTACATCAGCCGACGTTTTAGTTTTTGGATTGGTAGAAGGAAACACACATGTGTGGATCATAAAAAGGTTTCCCTTCTTGTCGTTAGTGAGATTTTCATTGTGGGCAGACTGTTTTAAAAGTTGTCTCATTGAAAAGTGATAAAGCAAGAGAAAGTGTGTATGGATAATCAACACGCGCTTATAACTTTCACATTTGATACTTTTGGTTTCTTTGCACCAGAGGTTATGGAGTTCCTCGATAAAGTCCAATGGGTCATGTATAATAATATTATGAGTCGAGATCTATGGATGTGTTATTTAAAAGAATTAGTTTCGCCATCTAAAAATGGTTAGTAGCGCAGTTTCTTGCCCATTACCTGTTATGTCTATGTAAAACTTTTATTATATTTCTAATCTTGGGTTACAAATTGTCAAAAATTACTCAATCATATATATATATATATATATATATATATATATATATATATATATATATATATATATATATATATATATATATATATATATTATCATAAATGAAAACATGGAAGGGATTGAATAGGTTGATATTGGTACAATGAATTAATCAAAATAATCCCGACTTGGGTCAAGCTACAAACATGTTATTGTGGAGTGCTCTCGGGTCTCGATTACCTATAAAATAATCATGGGCGTTCTTTTTGGCACATTTAGGTATGTCGGGGTCTCCGCTAAGAAATAAGCACACACGACCGACCTAGTGAAGGAATATCAACACTTAGACCAACTGAAGTTTCGGTTCTCAAATAGATAGAAGGGAAATATGCAACACATGTGTGAAATCTAAAAAGTATTTCCCCTCTCGAGGGCTTAAGGAGTGGGGGTTTAATTGTAGTTCGTTCTACTTTAAAAGTTACCTCATCTAAAGTGACAAAATCCAAACGTGTAAGGATAATCAAAATTTGTTGTTTGTACCATTCACATTTGATACTTTAATTTATTTACAACAAATGTTGTGAAGCTCACTCTAACTTGTTATGAATAGTAATATTATCATCAAGAGATTTATAATTATAGTTTTTAGAAGAATTTTTTTATGTCATCCAAAAAAGATTAGTTGCAAAAGTTTTTTGGTACTTTGCCTTCCAACTTGATTTTAATAAAAAAATGATATAATACAATTTAGTTAACACCATCTAATTCTTTTTGTTTATAACTACATTTTTATTTCCCACCTTGATTTTAAAATAATGATATAATACAATTAAGTTAACACCCATTTTTTTTAATAACTACATTTTTACTTGTTCATCCTCATTACCAGTAAATCTAAAGAGTAGGTGTATAACGGTTACTACACTTTCCTGATTTGTAGTGTACATTTCATAAAAATATTATTTGCTTATTAAAGCTTACGTTGTATTAATATATTTTTAATATTTGGATAACTGAGTTTGCTTCTAATATTTTTATTTGCTTATTACAACTTGTTGCGGGGTGTTTGGATAAATTAAATTATAGTTTATTAGTTTATTTACGGTGAAAATAAACAATAAGCAATAAGCAGGAAAGATGCTTATTAAAATCAACTTATTAAACTTATTCTTACCACAATTAACTGATTTTTAAGAATTTATATCCAAACACTTAAACTTAACTTATTATGGTAGGAATAACCAATAAGCATTCTTTTTTTTCCCCTATCTAAACACCTCCTTAAGTTCTATAATCATACTTTCCCACGAGTATTTTTGGAAGCAATACTCTCAATTTACAATCAGTCAAAAATAAGTTACAATGAACAACAGTTTCTATAAAGGGTCTCAGAAACTTCACACATACTTTTACAAGATAATCAGAAGAGCTTAAACCGTATTCAAGTTTGTGAATATTTCATTTTATTTCATGAATCTTGGATTTTTTTTTCTTTTCAAAATGGGCCTGGAGTAATTATAGCAAAGGATAAGACTTCTATTGAGCAATCATATTCGAACCAATGCTTATTATTTCTATCATTCCACTCATTTTACGCATGGTGCCATGCCTTCGGTGATCTTTGATTGATTATCTTTTACTAATAAGAGAAGTTTTTGAAAAAAAAAAAAAAAAAAACTTGGCTGACTTTTTTACTAGCATCTATATGGAACTCATTTTCTTGCACAAGTTCAGAGCTCTTTACAAACTAAAATGCTTAACATTTTTACTTGTATGGAATCCGTAAAAAGATCAAAAGCATGTAAGATTCGAGTGCTAAATTCCATTTAGGTTAGGATTAATGATTTCTTTTTTTAAGTAAAGATAATACCTACTTACCTATATATATATATATATATATATATATATATATATATATATATATATATATATATATATATATATATATATATATATATATATATATATATATATATATATATATATATACAACTTTAACAGATTAAGTTATATATATCAAGTCAAAAAAAGATACAACACCTTAGTCAAAATGTTGTCTAACGTTTGTTTGAAAGCATTACAAATTAAACACATTTGGGATGGATGTTATATTGGACAAAAAACAAAAATAGCCGCTGTTAATCTTTTGTACCTTGAATTGTCTGCAACAAATGTTCAATCCTGTACTTCATAATCGGTTGACCTGACCTCGTTCTCTTAAACATTTTCTCCCTTTTATCTTTACGCCGAGCTTCTGATTTTTCTTTTTCTTCTTTTCTTGTTTTAAGCATCGCTTCTTTCTCCATCCTTTCCTTCTCTTCCTCCTCCCGCTTCTTATTGTAAATTTCTTTCAGACTGAATGCCATCTTATTCCCATAATTCTTCTTCCCTTTCTCCCTGTTTTCACTTCTACCCTGCCAGTTATAATCATCAGAAATCATAGTTTACTTTACATAAGGCTTCTTGATTAGAAAAAGAAGCATTTGACCTTCAAATCAATAGACATATAAAGCAACCAAATCAAATTTTATGTTATAAAAGTGAAGAGCCCAACCTCTACGAATCTTGTAGATTGGGAAGAGTCCTGCGCTTTGTTCTGTTGTTTTTGTGACTTCTTGTACTTGTTAACGCATTTTGCATTCTTGTAGAACTCCCTTTGCTTCTCTGTGAGGATTGTGAAGATATGTATTGAGTATAGGGATAATAAATAAGAATTCAAACATCAATCTCTGTATAACAAAAAGCAGATAAGTGAGATTACAATAATAAATAAAGGCAGTATTCAGCTTATAGATACTTGGTGTTGTGTTTTTTTAAGCTGATCAAATAAGCATCCACCATATAAACAGGTCTAGAGACTATAACCCAAATTACAACCAAGCCTCGCATTGTTTAGCCTGAATTAAACACCAACTAAATCACCTCCAAATATTTCATCCTCGGATCACAATTTCAAACCACTTAGCTAATACAGAACGATTAGCTTACATTTACTGTGTATAAGATCATCAACACTAGTATGTGTATTCAGACGCAATCGATCGTTATTAAGCTTTAGGGAAGAAGAAAAAACATACTGATTAAAGCCGGATTGTATCCGTCGTTCTTCGCTTTAGCATTAGCAAAGGCTTGGAGTGATAGTCCTCCCCCTACACTCCCCATTCTCATCTTGTTCTTCTTCATTTTGTTGTTATTGACTGGTGCTAAGGCACCGGATTTCTGATAGTTTCCGCCATCGTTAGAGGTTCTACCATTATTCTTCATGTTTTCGTTGAGCGTAGTGTACAAGATTTTGACGAAATAAAACTTATGAACGATCTGAAATAAACAAACCCTAGAGTTGGTTGAAGACCAAAGACCAGAAGCCTTGGACGAAATTGGTAGGGAACGATTTATATAGTAGCTGGACATATCTTTGATTAGTATGGGCTGGCCCAGTAGAAGCTCTCTAACCATCTCCAATACGTTGAACTCTTAAATCTTAAGAGTTTAATGGATTGCCAAATCAGCATTCCACTAACTATATCATTTTATTCATTAAACACTACACTTTATTAAACCCTTAAGAGTTTAATGAATTTCCACATCAACATTTAATTATATATATTTCTAAATAATGTTGTAAAACTATAATATTACGTTAATTAGGAATTAAAAGTTACAAATTGTAAATTATTAATTAATGATTCTTGTATATGTTATTGTTTTAAAATATTTTTAAGATTTAAATATTTTTTGTTTAGAATATTATAATATAAATTACCTTGATGATTTAAATTATTCAATATAACATAAAGTAAACTACAAATATTATAAATAAGAAAATAATGACATATACCTTGTGTATATATGTAGGGTGTAATTATTTAAATAAAAATTTTTATTGGTGAAATGGTTAAAAGAAAAAAAAAAAAAAACAAATTGCATACCACCGTTCAATGGGGATTAAACCCCACTTCATTGAACTCCACCCACAATGGTGAGTTTATGTATTCAACTCCCTTTTTCCCCATTAAACTCACCATTAAATCCCCATTGGGGATGGCCTAAGAAGTTAAGATCAAACGGGGAGGCTGTTACGGAAACAAATATATATATATATATATATATATATATATATATATATATATATATATATATATATATATATATATATATATATACATACATACTAGCCTTCTACCCGCGCAAAGCGGCGGACGGCGAATAATTTGATCTCTTTAGAGTTAAAACCATTTTGCATTCACTTCGAGAAATGAATATTAAATGACATCTATTTTTCAAGAGCATTACCATACCATATTAAGAAAGTGTTTGGCTAAGTTTTTTTAAAACAATTTATTAGGTTCCACATCACTATAACTTAAAAAAAATGTTTGGATTAAAATAACTTATTCCGGTGGGGAACCTCTAATACGTCATTTTTTCATAAGTTACCTTAAACTTAATAATTAACTTATAAGCTAATAAACTAATAAGCAATAATTTTTTTTGCCAAACACCCCCTAAATGGTTATTACTTCCATTTATACATACCCAAACCACTTGTACTGTTTATCGTCCTCTTTTTTTTTTCTTTATTAATTTAATATCCTACTAAGTAAAATGCTAAAATATATAAATAATAGTTTATAAAAATAAACCTTTAGAATATCAGGTGTTGTGATTCAAAAGTCGATAAATAGGTATTTGAGAAGGCCAAAATACTCAGGTGTCAACTTGTTCATTGTGATTTTAAACCAAGTTTGGTCACAAATTAAAACATTTTCAACGATGGTATGTAATTCAAGGATTCATATTGATTTAGGTTCTCGAAACCTTAAAATATTGAACAAAATCTATATAGAACCTTATAATAAGGACAATAATCACCGTAATCAGGAAGTCCATGTGATGAAACTTGATATTATAAGGACCAATGATGAAAAATGTTTTATTTTTAAACTAAACAAGATGAAAAATATACAAACTACCTTAATCATGTCAAATCTTGTGTTTAACCGTTCTTTATTGCAAAAGTAAGATGCCAAAATATATAAACTAATGATAATACAATGCTCTAACTGACCCTCTTGGTTGAGTTATTTAAACCTGCAAAGCCAACACATTAAAGAAACATAGTAAAAACATTTTTAGGAACAAACCTGATATAATAAAACCTTCACCTAATATATTTATAAGATAAAAATACAAAAAGTTAAAAATGATGAAATCAATTACAAGTAAGGATTAAAATAAAAACCTGTTAAGAAAGAGCCATATGCAGGAGGGATATTTGAATCAACATATATTTTCTGATGATTTCAAATTTTGAATTATCCGAAATTTAGGGAAGGAGATAGAATTTGTTGAGAAATATAAGGATTCACAACAATTGTTAAAATTTAATATTATTTTATTGATGACTACTTGTACTATTAGCTTAATGATTTGAACGTCTTAAAAAAAATATTATTATTATATTCAATCTATTTTTAGAAATAGTGAGATTTCTTTTATAAGATATTATATATATATATATATATATATATAATATATATATATATATATATATATATATATATATATATATATATATATATATATATATATATATATATATATATATATATATGGGTTAGGTTCATGTGAGACGACCTAGTTTTGTGAGACCGTGAGACGCATTTTTTATTTCTTTTTTATTATTTTTATTACTTTTATTTATTTATTTATTTATTTTAGTTAATTCAAGTTCCGAAAATAATATTTAAAATTTTTTTTTTTGGATTTTTCCATTTATTTTGCATTTTAAAATTATTTTTTAGAATATATACAGTGTTATATTCTATTAGAATATTTCACGTATTTTAAAAAAAAAAACAGGATTTTTATTTTTATTTTTTTAGTTAAGTCCAGTTCCGAAAATAATATTTAAAAAAAAGAATTTTTGGATTTTTCAATTTATTTTGCATTTTAAAATTATTTTTTAAAATATATACAGTGTAATATTCTATTAGAATATTTCACATATTTTTCAAAATCAACGGGATTTTTTTATTTTATTTTTTATTTTTTTAGTTAATTCAAGTTCCAAAAATATTATTTAAAAAAAAGAATTTTTAGATTTTTCCATTTATTTTGCATTTTAAAATTATTTTTTAGAATATGTCATTGTAATATTCTATTAGAATATTTCACGTATTTTTCAAAAAAAAAAAAAGGGATTTTATTTATTTATTTATTTAGTTAATTCATGTTCCGAAAATAATATTTAAAAAAAAAAGAATTTTTGGATTTTTCCATTTATTTTGCATTTTAAAATTATTTTTAGATTTGATCTTACGGTCTCACAAAATTAAAATGGTCTCAAATCAACATGAACATATATATATATATATATATATATATATATATAATATATATATAATATATATATATATATATATATATATATATAATAATGGAAATCTCCAGAAAGTTTCTTAAATTTTAGTCACATTTATGATAAAATCTCAAACTAAATTTTATTTTCAGAAAAGTATAGAATACCGACTAAAACTTCGAAAAAAACCCTTTCTGGCCGGTTTCACGGATTTAGCCTGTCCTTTTTCAATAGTTTGCACAAAATTTTGGAACTTTTCCGAAAATTACATGATAATCAAAGTATTGGAAGTTTTCTGAAAATTACCATGGAATTAATGGATATTATTATTAACAAATCATTTATAAACATAACAAATAGTTTTATTATAAAAAAGAAAATAGAGTTGTTGCTAATTTCTAGGAATAAATTGGTGGTCTAAGTACTCATCTACGGCTTATTGACCACATCAAACTCTCTACATTCCTCCGCCGCATCGTTCTGGGTATGATGGTGAGATGTACTCAGTGGGTGTTCATCTAATGTTGGTGTTCCTCTTATGCTGGTTAACCTAACTACCACACAACATCCATACCTCACATGGTAACAATTATAGGCTAACATACATCTATCAAATGTGAAAAAGTGAATCGTGAATGATAGTTTATATGGAAAAGAGTAAAGGATGATTATCTATTAAAATTGTCATTCAAAGTTTACTTTTCATTATGTGTGTAATTTGATGGTTGTTAGCGAGTAGTGTATGGATGTTAGGTGGTATTTAGATTAAAGAACATAATGAAAGATCTATATGTTCAAGAATCATTGTGTAATGATATTTTCTAATAACATGTGATCCTATAACATCATACCTAATGACAAGTAGACACTTATTGATTGTGTATTAATAAATATTATCAACTATTGTATTTAATTGAAGAAACATACAGTACATCTCACTATGACACCCACACCGATAAATAGTAGGAACATAGAGAGTTTGAAGTGGTCAACAAACAATAGAGGGATACTTAGTCGATCATTTTATTCTTAGAAATTAGAAACAAATGTATTTCCTTTGTTTATAAAAAAATATTTGCTATGTTTATAAATGATTTATTAATAATAACATATATTAATTTCATAGTAATTCTCAGAAAAGTCTTAATATTTTGGTTATCGGGTAATTTTCAAAAAAAGTCATAATATTTTGAGCAACCAAACGAAAAAGGACACAATATCGGCTAAATCTACGAAACCGACCATAAAAGGTTTTTCCGAAGTTTTAGCCGCTATTTTGTGCTTTTCTATAAACAAAATTTATTTTGAGACTTTTTTTATAAATTAGACTAAAATTTTAGGACTTTTCTGGAGATTTCTTATTTGTTAAATAATTTCTATCTTTTTGAACAATTAGAATATTTTCTCGATAATTTTCTCTATTAAATACAAAAATTAATAGAAAGATCATGAGTTCAAATCTCAATTGAAAGACCATAGCAAAGTAGCAATTCTCTTTATTAACAACAAATAATAATAATAATAATAATAATAATAATAATAATAATAATAATAATAATAATAATAATAATAATAATAATAATGATAATAAAACCAAAAAATGTATTTGGCATAACGGTAAGGAGTGACAATCTCAATTGGAAGATCATGAGTTCAAGCCTCACTTAAGAAATAAGTAGCAATTAAGAGTATATTAATTTATTATTTCAAATAATGATAATCTTAATTTTGTGTTGGAAAAATGCAATCCTCTAACAATTATGAACTCAATACTCAATCTGAACTTTTTTATATGAATATATAGTTGTGTAAAATTTAGGATTAAGAGAAACTTGAATTCATTACTTGTTGAAAACGCAAACAAGCAAGGGTTTAAATAAGAGAATGCATAATCCACTACTAGAAAACAACCCTTTAATGACGCGCAAACAATGACACTCGCTGATAGAGGACGCGCATTTGTATGTGTCCTAAAAAATAATGTCAGTTTTGCAAAATTTGAAGGATAGAGGACACGTATTTGTGCGCGCCCTAAAATTAGTGTCCGAAAAAAAAAACACGGAGGGCGCCTATCCTAAAAAGCGTGTTGTGTTACCCTGTCGCTTTTTAATTTTAGTATATGAACGCGAATTTTTGTTTTTTAATACCAGGGTGAAATGAAATCGAAAAAATTAAAAACCACGCTTGTTGCGTCTCGTCCTTCAACAGGAACGCTCATCTCGATCAGACTCACCATCATCTCTCTCTCTCTCTCTCTCTCTCTCTCCTTCATGGTACAAACCACCACTATCTTGTATATGGAATGTAATAAACAGGGCCAAGAAGAAAAGGAAAAGGTGATTTCTTGGCTGACAAGCCTCCGCAAAGTGATTTCTCTCAATCTTCATCCTCTCCATACTGTTTCTCCCCATTATTGCTTCTATTGAATCAAATATCACCGAATAATAATGTAACAAGTCAAGAAATCGCCCGAGAAAAAATGGCTCGTTCTGGTTCGCGTCTTGCTCCGCCACCGTTAGCAGCGTCGGTCCTAACTTCTTGATCGCCTGAAGTATCATTTTCAGGTAACCTCTTCTCTCCTTCACATACATATTCAAATAGAGTATGTTTTTTACAAACAACTATTCACCTTCTTTTATTCCTAGATTTTCTCTCGTTAGCATCGCCAGAGTGGCTGGCCCTAGAATCAGTCGGAACTGTACTTTAATTCCAACGGAGTGGCCCGATTTATTACATTCCATATACATTTCCTTTCCTTCGATTCTAACCCTAGTTCGTTCTCCCCCCTTTTTCCTTCACAAACACACATGGATTATAAGTTCCTTATCTGTTCCCATGGGGTTCACGAAGCATGGTTTATACATCTAGGGTTTTTGAATTTCGAGTATTATGCATACAAATGTCAGAAGAAATATGGTTAACCAGCTCAAATATGGTCCGATTCCAGTTCTCAAAGCCCTCATAGATGTATATAGTGCAAGATAAATATACATATGAAACCCTAATAGGATTGTGCGATAACAGAAGAAGATGATGATGTTGGAGAAAAAACGTTCTTTCTAATTCTCTTTCTCATGCTTTGCATTATTTTTCTTCAGGTATTTTAATCCATTCTTTAAAACTGTGTAGTGTTCAAGTTATTTAGGGCTTAATTTCTTTAAAACCATGTATTTTAGGTGTTTGATGTTGAATTATTGTTCATCCCATCTATCATGTATTTAACAATTTAATTATGTTTTGGTTGCTTTCCATGTATTGTTATCTTCAGCCAATTTTCTTGCAAGAGAACTAGCAAAAACACGATCCGTTTCAGAAGTTGCACTGGGCTTCACAACTTTGGGTTCTTGTGTGCTGACTGGCTTCTCAAATACATCTTCTCTGGGTGGGGTAGGTGCAGGGGGCTTCTGGGGCTGCATCATCTGATGTTTGGGGTTTGTAATCTTTAAATTTATGTTCATAGATCTGCATCAAATAATTAAAATATGACCTTGTTTCATGTTGGGTCAAAGCTTATGCTTACTTTATTTGTCCTGTAACAGATGGAAAACGTCTTATTGGTCAGAGATTCAGCGATGCCTCTGTATAGAGTAACATCGAGTTATGGCTTTCCACTTATTGGGAATGGATCCACCAAGTATAATATGACTTCATTCTCTTCCCTTTACTTGATATGAGGAATTATTTTTCTCAACAGTTTGGTAAATATTTGCTTTTTTTTTGTACAGGATTTAGCCTGTGTATGTTGCTGATGTGGCATCTACAGTTGTTTTAGCCTTGAAAGATGATGGTAGCAGCATGGGAAAAGTATATGAACTTGGTGGGCCAAATGTGTATATATTACATCAATTGGTGATCGATTCTCATGATTTGTTTTCTCCTGTTCAAAAATCAAACTAAGATTGAGTCATCATAATTTGATCTTTATTATTTTTACAGGCTGAGCTTATGTACGAAGTGATTCGAGAATGGCCTCATTATGTTAATGTCCCTTTCCCAGTTTCTAAGGTATGAAATAGCAACACACGTCCATTTACTTGACATACATTGCTAAGGTATTGAGAGAACAGGCTGCTCAAGGTCTTGGAGAATTAATTGAAGTAACAAGTGAAAAAGCACTCAAGGAGTTTGTTATCCCTATTACAGGGAATATACCATTTATGCCTAACAGTCTCTTATTTTATTTTTTTCTTGACTTGTGTTTTCTACCTTGATGATTCCAGGCCTCTGATCTGAATCATAGGCGACCAATTCCCATGGCAAGTGAAAAGTGCTATTTTGTCAACTTTGACCATCATAATAGCAAAAGGTGGGATGGCTATGATAAATAAACTAACAAAAGTATGTTGGTAGTTTTGCATTGGAAGATGTGAATATAGAAGTTGAATTTGGGAATTTATTTTTGGCAGGATAAGGAGAATTGAATGACATTATTCAAATGTGTTAGTAAGGAAAGGCAAGACAAAGTGATGTGAACTCATGGGTGGTTCACAACATGGGGATATTAGATGTGGCTATGTTTAATGCTATTCTTCGGGAATGTTTAGATTGGAAATTGGTCAAGGTGGCTAACTTATTTATTTGGTATAGATGATGATGATACATCATTCAAATCTTTTCATCTCCTGAATGCATTAAGTGACCTGATGATGCTTCCTAAGGATATGCTGTTAGATAGCACAATCAGAAAAGAGGTCTCTAAAATTGGGCTCTTTTTCTTTTATAGTAGTGTAGTTATCAACAAAGCTAAAGTTATTTAAATTTTTTTTAAAGGTATGTCCGAGTTTTGGTGCAACATTAATAAAAGGGATACTAGATAGTTTTGTTCCAGATGAGTTTTGTCCAGATGCTATTCCTGAAGTTGTGCTTGAAGCCCTAGATTCAGAGGTGAGTTCAATATAATTAATTAATTAAGTAATTATGTTGATGTGAAGGAAACACAAGCCAACCAATTAAAGATATGTTGGTCTATCCAATAACATGCATTCAGAGGGTGTTTGTTTATATATGTTGGTCTATCCAAACACTCAGCACAAAAGCAACAAGATCTTTAAGACCCAATATTAGCACATATCCCTTTACCTCTATTGTTGTACCAACCACTTGAAAAGAAACAAGACAACCAGAAGAACAACGGAAAGAGAAAGAAGAAAAGGAGAAAAAAAGAAAAGGTTCAAACTGATGTGGATGGCAATGATTCCTTCATGTTTAATGATGTATTTACTGCTCCTCTTTATCGTATAAAGGTGAGATCAATTAATTTTTATGCAAATATATAATGTGAAGTTCATATGAAATTGGAATGGAATGACTCATTCCATTCCCTTGCTTATTTCATTATTCCATTCAATTCCATGTAGAGGTGAATGCTATCCAACTGAAGGAAACTGTGGAAGAAAACGCAAGCACCACAGAGAGAGTATTCCAAGATCGTCAATATCAGGTCCAATTATTTTTTTAGAAACTGTCTTAATTTTTTTAGTAATTATAAATATGTTGCAGGTTGATGCAACTATTGTTAGGATTATGAAAACTAGAAAAAATTATGAATTTTACTTTCATTGATTTATGTAACTTTTTGGGCTCTCAACAATTACTTTCCCTATGTATTACAATTTTTTGACATGATTTTAATGAATGAAATTGATTGTTTTGGTATATATTCGTTTCCATAATTTTGTATTATGCATAAATGTGTATCGTAAAGACGTGTTGTAAATACATATCATAAATGGTTGCTGAAGTTTATGATACGCAAATGCGTGTCATCTTCATTTATGACAGGGGCTTTAATGATACACAATGCGTTTCGTAAACGTGCGTCGTAAGGTTACGACACGCAAATGCATGTCATCTTCCTTTATGACATGACCTTCTTTGATACGCATTGCGTGTCGTAAATGCGCGTCGTAAATAGACGACGCACAAAAGCGTGTCGTCTCTCGTTATGACAGGGCCTTCATTGACGCGCATTTGCGCATCTTCTAAGCGTTTTACAACACGCATTGTGCGTTGTAAAAGGCTGTTTTTCTAGTAGTGATCTCAATATAATTTCTAATAAGTAACTAATTAAAAAGTTAAAGCTAGTTAAACATGTAGATAATATGTATCTTAATACTTCTTTTCAAATTGGAGTGTGCATATCACACATGTTGGGAAGTATAATAAAACAAGTTAAACACTCCAAACGAATTTCAGTAGAACTTACGAAATAAAACATCTAAAGAATGAAATCATAAACTAAACACAATATTAAACATGGTTCAATAAAGAGAGGAAGAGAGTGCAAACGAAAGTGAGAGAGGGAGAGAGTGTTTTATTAAACTTTAAGAACAATTATAATCATTCATAATGATTGTACCTCATTTGAGCTCTTAAAACAAAAAATCTCTCTTACTTACAAACTGCTCCAAATGATGTGTTATCGATCTCACAATAATCTAGTCTTTGTTTTTTTCTATGTTATACACACAATGTTTTTAATATTTACGGACCAATAATATATTTTAAGTAATTAATGTATCTATTTCGTAAAAACTTCAACTTCTTTTATATATATATATATATATATATATATATATATATATATATATATATATATATTATTAAGAGATTTCTAGTTAGTTGTTTATGGAGGGATCAGTTTTATCTAAAACATAAAGTAAAAAAAGACCAGGTCCAATCAAATATCTAGGACTTCATGAATGAAGGAACCTAGTTAAATGTTAGGAAAATACTTTAGAGTTAAATACGTCGGTAAAAATGATAGAGAACGATTGAATTGGGTGGGAGTTGTTTACTAAATATGACGCTAAAGTTTCGAATATGTAATAAAATGTTTCACGAATTTAATGAATTTCGTTAATTGTACATTGCTTATGTCAAAAGGGGTAATTTTATGAATTTGCAAAAACATTTTTCACGAATCAAATGACTTTTTATGATACACATGGAAAGCGTGAGCTTTTTGGTGATATGATTCCTCTATTTTTTTAATCATTTTAATTTAGTGAGTAACTCATTATAAAACACATTTTAATTAAAATGTTATCATTCATATATATTAAATAGTAGTATTTTATTTTAAACCTTAAAAAACGAAAATAAACAAAGAAAAACAAACATATATGATATTCCTCCGCCTATTCGTCTAGCTCTAGCCTGACTTCCTGTGTTGCTAGGTGGACAGATTCGGGATTCAATAAAGAATCTTGTCACTGATCTACCCGATATACAAGTGAAAAGCCTTTTGATTTCGACTTAATTACGCTCGTCTTTTTGTCTCAGGATTTTAAACTTTAAACAACGGAGGAAATGATAATTTTTTCACTAGAGACCTTAGCCATTTCTTTCTTGTCACGACCACCTTCAACCTGAACACTCGAACTTTCTTGCATTTCTATTATTACCCCTAAGTCGACCCCAGATTTTTCGTGCATTTCCAGTATTTCCCCCAAGTCCACCACTGTTGGTGCTGGCACGTCTTGTTCTTGAGCCATTGGTTTAACTTGCTTCTTTTTATCTTTATAGACCATGTACAAGATCATTTGTGCTATTCCAAAGATGAAGCCCAACACATTTGGGGTCTGAAGTGAACAAAAAAAGAAAAAAATTAATAAAAAAGAATTTGTTAAACATATATATAAAATGCGAACTTACTGCTACATAATAGTCCTTGATCAGTAAGCCGTAAAAGAACCACATAACAGCACACAACGTAAGAAAGAAAGACAGCGAGAAGGGCATGTATTCAACGCTCTTCGTTTTTATGACCAATCTCTGTATATATGTACGTACACACAAAAAAAAAAAAAAAAAAAAACGATTATTAATTATATGTACTTCAACAATGGAGTTAAAATTTAAAATAAATTAATAAATATTTGATTGGTTAGGTAAATAATGAATTGGTTTACCATAATGCTGAGAGGAGCAGCAAAAACACATACAGAAAACACAGCACATATCCAACCAACAATAGCTACCCTTTGAGATCCTTCTTTCGTTACTAATAGTGTTGTAGCAACAATCAACCCATATGATAGTATGTTGAAGAAAGCAAGTAGTTTGACTGTAGACATCTATAGATATCCAAATAAATAAAAATAGATTATATATATAAAATAAAATATTAATTAATAAAAAGCATGTTCAAAATAGAATTGGTTTAATTAGGTTACCAGGGCCTCTTTAGTTGCGTAGATGAGAAAGAAAACGATGTAAATGGTTTCAATGACACATCCTATGGAATTGATGGTGATGATCATCATTCCATTTTCGGTTTTGAGATAACCATAGTACAAAAGCAACATGCAACTGAATAATGCAACCGAGTATGGCACTGACTGAAACCCCTCTGTTGATTTCTTCTTGTAGATTCGATAGAAAGTTGGCCTAAAAGTACAATAAATCCATTACACATTAATGTACAAAAACATCTTAGATTGTTTCCGGAAAATCCCTAATACATATATTTTTAGAGATACAAAGAAAAAGATCTTACATTGGCGCTAAGAACACACAGAATGAGATAATGTTGCCTATTCAAATAAACATAAATATATGGTGAGATTAATTATAGACTTATCGAAACAACGAAAAGAATTTTTGGGAAATTAACTTCAAGAAATGATGATGAGCACATACCAAGAATACCAAAAACAGAAGCTAAAAGTTGAGTAGGGAAAGCCATTGTTGGTGGGGTGATGAAGCTCTCTTAGATATCAAATGATTGATAGAGAAAAGAGCTTATGGAGAAACAAAACAAAACGAATACATTTATAGGTCTTCCAAAAGGCAAAAATTAGAATTCGGTGTGCTTTTCCATGTGTAGCCTTTTGCTTCTAAAACTCTTTTTGGGTTGATTAACTAATTAATGATTGTTAGTCACATTTGTTGTGATTCTAATTACAAAACTTGTTTTACAAAAATGTTATGATTGCTCATTTAATTAATTATAATCATTTTATGATTGTTATGATTTATAATACTTATTAGACTTTTGATATACTTCTTGACTTTTTCCCAAAATATAAAACTTCATTTGTCCAAAAATAATGCAAATTTAACTTGACACAAAGTTAAATAAAGCACAGACAAAATGTGAAAAGCTTGATTTGATTCGGTTGTTAAGTGCTGTCTTAATAATTATGTGCTTTAAAAATATTTAAGTTTTTTTTTTTTTTGAACAGCTTAAAAATATTTAAGTAAACCGCCACAAATTTAATAAATGAAAGAAATAAAATGATGAACAATTCAAAAAAATTAGGATTTAATTTTATGTCATGTCTCCATAAAACCCATTCGGCTAAAAGTATAAACAACAAAATTTAGTAATATTAGGTAATATCTAATCATTAGAAAAAGAATTTATATTGAAATTTAGTTTTGTAATGAAAATGCTTTTATTTTCAAACAAATTGAAAAACAAAATTTTAGGAGATCATATCATCCATTTTAAATTTGAATGTAATTCGTTTATATTTTAGATATGAAATAAAGTAATAACTCAAATAGCACAATTAGGTGGTGCTACTGTTATATCACCAAATTATTAATATTTTTAACACTGTTACAAAATAACCATCGATTTTGCAAAATAGCTTTTATATATGAGAATACTTTTATATTTTGGGTTTAACATGTATTTTTTAAGTATTAAGTCTTAAATCTATAAACTATTAAATACAAAGACTTGAATGATTACCAATCTTACCAAATAATTTTAATAATATGATTTGAACATGATGTATGTATGTCATATGTCACTAAACAATCTACCAATCAGTGAATTTGCTGAAAACGTAAAGTCAGATATATACTCCTTAAAATTACTGAGATTTTAATTTAAAACATTGATGCTTTACTATATTTTGCATTAAAAGTAAAGCACATTTTGTTACTATTGACTATATATATATATATATATATTGATTTAGTTTTATGTAATATATTTTGATAGTTTACTAAAATTAGAGATTCTAAAGCAAAGTTTGTGTGGCTAGCTAGTAAGTTAGTTAGTTTACATAAGATTTGTTGATACTTCAGATATGAAAGATGATTATATATGTATCATGTGTTTTTCTTGTACGTAGTAATGATGTATCCACATGTAATTTGCAGTTGTTAACAATATATTAATTATAATACACTATTCATGAAAAATAACATATGCGTTTGAAAAGAATCACAAATTACTGAATTATGAATTAGAGATAAATCGGGTTTGGTAATCGAAAGCTTATTTCTGTAATGATTAATCATTTAATGGAAAACATCATCTATGATCTATATACACCGGTATACTCTAATTAAAGTTATTCAAGATACGTTTGATTTATGTTTTCCTCATACAATCAACTCGTATGAACATAAAAGACTAACTGGATTACAGGAGACATGAGATGAAAATAAACTATGTCTTGATGTTCTTCGTAATTAAGCACTTCACAGGTGCAAAAATCAAAAAACATTTCATCTAGACCAAACTTAAGGAATAATATATATATATATATATATATATATATATATATATATATATATATATATATATATATATATATATATATATATATATATATATATATATATATATATATATATATATATATATATCACGTGATTTAAGACGATAAAACTTTCTAAGTTTACTACATAAGAATGATTGTATAACGCATGAGAATCAGAAAAAAAGGCATTCTTTTTCCTATATTTAGGTAACTCATTTTCATCACGTAAATGTACAAGTACAACAACTTAATACTAATAATGGGGCTCAATCATTCTAGTGTAGTTTGTACAATATAAAAATATAAAATATGGAAGCTTGTACGCGTACTAATTCTCAACCCGTAAGTTACATCGGCTAGAAACAAACAAGCGGTGGCTCGGGTGGATATGGGGTTCGAACCCCGAGCCAAGTCGGTACAATGAGAAACCAATTGATGAAATCCAACGGTTGGGATTAAGTTGTTGATATATACTATATAGAAGCATTGATACGTTTTGATATTGTAAAAAGAAAAGGAAGACCACTTGTACACTGCTACCCCTAACACCAACGGCGGTTAGGGTGTTTTTTTGCTTTTTTGGGGCTTTCTTCTTTCATCTTCTGGCTACTTGCGTCATTCACTCATCAATTGTTACATACAAGTGGAATATTGGAATTGTTAAATAATTTGTGTAAGAAAGTAATATTTTTTACTAAAAAAACGGATTTGCAGTTCAAGCTTCTTTTACGTATTACAACACAGTTATTAATTATTTTATGAGTTTAAATAATTAAATATTGCAAAACACTCAACACCGTCTAAAATCATGGTTGTATAATATATATACCATAAAGTAATTACTAAGACCGGTTTGTGCACCACCATATCGCACTATCGTCAGTGTGGATCCAGAGATTATTATAACTGGGGTGTATAATGTACAACTATTATTATTATTGGTGACCATTAATTGAAAATCAATTTTAATAATGAATTTTCTGTATAAAATATATAAAAGAAAAACATGTTAAGTGGGGCGCATGCACCCCACTAAAACCCTCTACATCAGCTACTGCCTGTGGTGGCTACATTACATGTCACCGTAATATTGCGGTGAACACAACACCGTATGGGATGCGTAGGTGTGGTATGCCCAGCGTTGTAAAACTCGTCGAGTTGGCCGAGTACTCATCCGAGTACTCGCTATTCGGCCCCTTACTGAAGCGAGTTACAAAATTCGAGTACTCGCCGATTGACCCCTTATTGAAGCGAGCACTGTTGTAAAACTCGGCCAACTTGGTGATTAATATGTATAGTATACTTAATAATTTATTATTTAACACACACACACACACACACACACACATATATATATATATATATATATATATATATATATATATATATATATATATATATATATATATATATATATATATATAACAAAATTAGATACATGTGAATACACAAAAACTAAAAAAACACATAATGGTCCCACTTCGTGAATAATTATTGAAAATTTAAGATATATATGTAGTAATAATCATATATATATATATATATATATATATATATATATATATATATATATATATATATATATATGATTATTACTACATATATATCTTAAATTTTCAATAATTATTCACGAAGTGGGACCATTATGTGTTTTTTTAGTTTTTGTGTATTCACATGTATCTAATTTTGTTATATATTTCATTCAACTTATGGTTTTAACTTATGATTTTGACATATATAATTTCCCTAAAAATATTTCTATATGAATTACTGAATCCGAGTACTCCCCGAGTACTCGCTACTCGATAGTCAGCCGAGTAGGTATCAAGTAGCGAGTTCTACAACCATGAGTATGCCTACCACACGTCAAAGATGTAAAATAATAGATTGTTTGATACTCGAAAAGACAATTACATAAAAATATATAAAGAATATTTAAACCTTAATGATTAAATCGTAAAGGACTTAAACCTAAACCATAATCACTAATATTCTTCTAACGTCACAACTTCACAATAAAATTGTTGATTTTTAATTAAGATAAGATGTCATCATCATAAAACTAAGTCGATAAAATCATATGCTCCAAAACATTTGGTGCTATAAAGGTAGTGTCTCCAAATTTTTAGGACAAAAACAATCGCAACCAAATCCACAAATCGTGAATGGTGTATGTGATATCCACAATTTCACGGCTAGAAAAGACCGATTTATTTATGCTTTATTTAAAAATCAGAGTATCCTTTTGAAGAAAAATGTTACGGAATTTGAGAAAATATGATAAAGATTTTATCAAAGCATTTTCGAAGAAATGTATTTTTATATTAAAAACATCGGGATGTTAGTGTGAATACAGTACAAAAGCATAAACCGAAATAATACAGGCCTTACAAATATCTATTTTTCTAACGGCCTATAATCCATAGATCTTTCATCAGACCATTACGCATTTGCTCTTTTTCCACTACCTGTAATACAAGAAACTGAGTGGGTCAGGCTTGGGGCCTGGTGAGTGTAACGATCAAAAATTTCAACAAATTTCAACTTTTCAAAAACAATCCATTTTAATAATGTTATTACAAAAAGGTTTTCAATACATTTATTATTAGAGTATTCCTAGAACCATAACATAGATCATAAACACGATGAGCGGTACGATCACGCCTTTGCCTTGCCACGGTCTCCTGAAGAACCTGAAAAACATTAAACCACAACTGTAAGCCCGAAAGCTTAGTGAGATACCCCCAAAATACCAACCACAAATACCACACATAACATGTTATATCACAACAAATCACAGAACAACCATGCATATCGGGTCTACTGTGTGACTGGTCCGCCGTATCGGGCCTTCAGTCCACCTGGTCCACCCTCCGAGTCTAGTCATGCCCCTTGAATCTGCAATGTGGTTGGTCCACCCGCACCGGGCCTTCAACCCACCTGGTCCACTCTCTGAGTCTACAGTATGACTGGTCCGCCCGCATCGGGCCTTCAGTCGGCCTGGTCCACTCTTCGAGCCTCGACACGTCTGGTCCGCCCTTGTGGGGCCTACAGCCTATCCGGACCGCTCACTGGGCCTTCGGAATAACCGATCTGCCCTGGGTATGTTGGCCTACAGCACATAGTAGGTCCCGCCTCAACCTAACCCCAGTTAAACAACCATGTGCACATAAACATACAATCAAATAACAATTCACATTCAATCAAACTGATCTAGTAGATTACGTATCATAATGTACTCTAAACAGGGTACCGAACTAACAGGTCACTAGGATATACCATCCTAATACCCGGATGCAAACATAACAAGGCAACACCATAA